CTCCCTCCCGCCAGTCCGTGGAGCGCGCACCGCCTCGCCGCCCTTCCTACCCTCTTCCGTGGGCCTCTCGTCTGCGCTTGGCTCCGGCGACTCCGTTCTGCTAATCCTCTGGTGGTTTTCTGGGTTATTTAGGCAGGTGTAGGTGGAATCTAAGTGATCAGCAGGACGCGCGGTGAGCCCAGCGTCCTCCTACGCCGCCATCTTCCTCCAGTTCCATTACTTATATATCTATTTTGTTTTAAATAATTATTTTCTAAGCAATGCTTCTGAGAAACTTTTGTCTTGATCATTGTTCAGATAATAGTGGGGAGATGGAACTGAGGGTAGAGAGGAGAAAATGGCACTCCAGGCATTTGGTGTGGCCTTGGGGGTCACAGGCTAGTTAGCAGGTGGGACATTTAAGGTACCCCTACATCAAAAATGGCTATTTGGGTCAAATTTTGTTGTATAGGCAGCTAGTGTGAGGTGGTAGGTGACAGGTGGGCAGAATTTATTGATGTATGACTCTTCTAGGAAACTGATGATGTTGTTTTTGCTGCTCTGATGTCTCAGTAGCTGTGAGTTCAAAGGAATGAGGCATACCCTGTGTGGCAGTGAGCGGAATGTGCAAAGCACCACCCCTAGCCATGGTGCACGTGCAGCAGAATCTATGTCAAACATCTCGGTTTGCCCAGTGCTTATCATATATCCTGTGCTCAGTGGATGTTTGTTGAATTTCTGATATAGGAAACTATTCTGGGGTGGTATGAGTGATGGAAGTAGATCCTGGGTAACTGTGACAAGAGAAGATGAAGGGGGCAGATAATAGCCAACGAACGAGGTTTTTCTGAGGATAAGAGGCTAAGAAAGGTTACGTTGAAGATGGACCTCTTGGGCCTGAGTTATTAGACTGAGGGGACCATGAAAAAAGACTGGTAATGGCATGAACTGAAGTGGTTAAAAAATAATCTGGTTTCTTATTCATTTGCTCCTTCATACGCTCACATGTTTTTGTTTTATGTGCCAAACTGGTGAGGCATCCACACAAGGACATGGACAATTAATTGCATTATAAAATGGAAAGCTTCCTGGTGTCCACACTGTGGTTTCCTTGAGGGCAGTCCTGTTCTGTTCACCTGGATACAGTGCTTCGCACATTTTAGATGTTCAAGAAATAGCTGTTGAATTAATGAAGACAACAGGCTCAGAGAGAGGAAAAGAATTGCTCAGTGGAACCCGGCCAGATAGTTAATGGCAGCGCTGGGCCTGTGATCAAGGACATTTCCATCACACGGGGCATCTTTCTTCTGCTACAGAGACACTGAATGACAGGTCTCATCTGATTGGACAGCTGATTTGGAATTGAGGAATCCATGATTTTCCGAGTTCTTTATTGCTGAGCACTGTCTGGAAAGTGGCTGGATCTCCAGGGTTACCTTAAT